AAGGATTCAGGGATGACATGTCAAATTTCAGTGCGACCAGATTCTTTCAGAGGAAGTTAGGTATATTAGGCTTATTATAAAAATACAGTATCAACCTTAACTGAGAAGCAGGTTCTTAACAATAAAGTACTACGGTTATTGAAGAATATGCCTTTACACTTTTTCAGGTTATTTGTAGTATCTGCTGAGGAATTCTAATGAAGATTAGAAGATGAATAGCTTTAAGGAGAAGCATATAGCATGTTTAATGAACATGCTATTAATTTTTATTAGCAACCATATTGTTTGCCTTGCTTATTATTTATACAATGTAACTGACTATTAAGTGCAAACAAAACTACTAACTTTTTTCTCACTGCCACTCTATTTTTAAGGATTGTTTAGAGTTTTCCGACAGCATAGACTAAATTGAAGAATTGCTTCAGTTACACTGAAGGGCACTGCAATGAAAAACAAAAGGCAAGAACTGAGTTGTTACAAAATAAAAAATAGGTGATAATAACAGAAAATTCAATATTTCTGTTATGTTTTCTGAAAATGCTACCATTGGTGTACATGTATGTTCAAATGATAGAATCTTGGGAATTGTTTTCCTTTCAAAATTACCAGTCAGATAGAAAAACATCGGAAGCAGCCAAACATACAAAAGACAAGAACGTTGAGAGAAAATAAATAAACAAACAAACTACTTAAAATGTTTAGCTCACCTTTCCAACAGCAGCAGCCACCCTGTTGGTCTCCCCTGCTCTTTGCTTTCATTGCAATGTCCAGCATTATGGCTGAAGGAATAGAGTATAGCAGAACCTCGCTAATTTACCTTACTAATTCACACACCTCATAATTTGCACACAAAAGTTTGCCACTTTCCCAACTTCTTAGGCAAAATCAAACTGAAAACGCTGCAGAGATGGTTTCAACCACTCACATCACATTAGTATATATGCTACACAGTATTGACTAGTACGCTATTGAGTATTATCATAAAATTGTAAACTAGTCTAATAAAGCAAATATATTTTTAAAGCATCACCACGTATCATGTCATTGACTTGCATATATGCAAACGTTGACATTAATAAAAGGTCTCCCCATTAGTGAATTAGGGAGGCTCTACTGTACTTAAAAATGTAGTGTCCTCATTGATAACCTTGAATCTACAATTTTCTTCAGACTTCATCACATGGGAATACAGCAACTACACTTAACCATAGCCTGTTACATATTGTAATTACAGTGTCCTGGCACTGTTTTAACTTTTCAGACTTTTGGTTTCAGAAGATCATATATTCAGTTTACTGTTTGACTTTTTTTTTTCCCTCCTGCAAAGATTTTTTTCTGCAATGTAAAATACTAAGTGAAGTTCAGCCCTGGAATAGTATTATTCTATTCAGTGAAATTAATCCCATTTTTCACTCAATTTTCTAAATGGAAAGACTGATTATCCAAAAAAAAAAAATTTCACAGAATAGACCTGTGCCTCAAGCCAAAATCAAAAACAATGTTCATTCTTGACTGCCAATCTTTGAATGTAATCAATAAATTACATGGCATTTCTGATCTGGGGTGAAGTTTGTCAAGTTTATATCAGTTACCAGTTCCATGGTACTTACACATTCCCCCCGCCCCAAAGTATATTTCTACATTCAATTAACCAAACTGACAATTGTGAAAAATATCTTACTGGTCTGACATCCCCACATGAGTTGGTAAATTGCCGAGCCAAGCCAAAATCCAGCATATAACACTTCCTGCAGGTGCTAGGAAAACGTCCCATGGCAAAGTTGGACTAGGAAGAAAAACAAATACATATATGTATGTATGTATACATTAATACAGAGACATGATCATAGAAAAACTGTGTTCTACTTTTCTATCCTTCTTTCCATATTTTCAATTCTATTAAGCTCCCATTACATTTGAAAAAAAAAATAGTCAACAAAATCAGACACTCAACTTAGCATACCTGAACAGCAGCCTTTTTGGTCCAAACAGATTGTCAGCTTACTTTGTCACTTAGAACGTACTCCTTTTAGCAAGAATTTTACAATCATATCACCCAATTACATTTTTCAATTTGGACCTTTCAAAAAACTACCAGGGGTTAACAGGTTCATATGAACCAACATAGTAATATAATATAACTTTCTTGAGTATTACCTAAGTTGGCTCCTTTAACAAAAACGTCAACCCCACTAGTCACAACTGTGATGTTTAAACATTTCAGCTGAATTGGTTCAAGTCTCTCTCCCACCAAGATCACTTAAAGTGCATTAAGTGATATAGAAAAGATACAGCTAAAAAAAAGTTCTGTGAAATGGAATCTGAACTACTCATCTTAGCAAGTTGGAAGTTTAGCCCAATTACCTCTAGAAAACTACTCTTTCTTTATATTAAGAGGACCAGCAGTAATCAAAGTGCTATAAAACTTAGACAGGATCTATGAAACCACAAGAGTAGTTTTAGCTTACACTCTTACAAGTAAGTTGAGTTTTCACAATATGCTCAGTAATATCACAAGATAATAGCAACTACCCATAAATTGGTAATCTGCCACTTTTGTAAATGACACCAGAGAAAAAGCACGTTTTGCTATGCTAAACAGTTAAAAATTTTATATTTTATATGAAACGTTACTCATCATCATCAGAGCATCCAGAAAATAATGAATAGGCAATATACATTTATACCGTAATCTTTTAAAGCATACTGCACTGCTACAGGGTAGACTATAACCACCTTGCTGAGAAGAAATGATAGATGTAACAACTTCATTTACTTTTTGCCTGGTTATTAATTGGTAACTAGCTACAAATCACCTCCTTAGTTAAGGGAAGAGGAAGAACTAAGTAGAAAATGAATGATTCGTTTATTGTGGTTATTGTTCAGAGCTTAAATATTGTAATAAAAATACGTCTTTGGAGAAGGAAAAGTCTTTCCCAATTGCCTTCTAATCTGTATTTAGATAGATAATCTGAGATATTGTTAATTGGGGGACAAATTACAAGAAACTTGAAAATCGTTTTTAAAATTTCTTCTAACCCAGTATTTCAGAAAAACTTATCTGCGTTGAACTGTAATTTCAACAGCTGTGTTAATAAAAACTGCCATAGTTCAGAGATGGTTTGATGAAGGCGCACAGAAGCCAGAGACAAACTAAAAGTGTTGATAATCATCACAGACCTACATCTCACCATTAAAGACAAGCACTAGCTGAAGAACATTTTTTAAAATGCTTGAAAACACAACTATTCTAGATGGTAAATGTGTCCTGAGAAAAGGATTAATAATAAACACCAAAGGATTACAGTGAGAAATAGCACTGAGGAATACTACACATCAAGAAAGGCTGGTGACTGGTTGGAAAATCTTGCTGGTTCACAAGAATGCGTTGGTTTAATCTCCACAGCAGCAGCAATTATTATTGTACATCACAGACCAAGCCAAAAACTACACAGGAAGAGCTCTAACAAGACCAAAGGAACATTCAGGAGTTCATTTAAACATGTAACTGGTTTTTGGTAAGGAGGAAGCCTTACTTGTTTGGTTTTTCTTTTAATATGTAAGATTGTCTATGCTTCAGCTTGACCGATTCCAAAGGCTACATACAATAAACAAGGTCCACACTGGGAGACCTAACACACCGAGATACTTCAAAACGGCAAAATACTTGTTCCTAGCTTGCCATCAGAATTTTGCAACAAATATCATACATCATCTCCTAACGCTTGACTACTTTAATAATTTCATAGATAAAAATCAGCAATTTTTATTTCAAAACTTGAATCGTTTCCATCATTAAAATCTTTTGCTCCAGCTAACTCTTCCTCTCCTATTTCACTCAAAATTCACTGCTTCTATACCCGGTCACTATTAAATGAAATCCTAGGAAGAGGTCAGGCAGAACACAACCTTCATAAAAAGTCACAAGGAAGAAGTGTAAATGAAAATTCTTTAATTCATAGAAACTTACAAAAGGTTTTATGTAAATATAATTCAGCTGACAGGAAATTCTGCAGATATGCCAGATACGTTTTCCAATAGATGCAAATATTGCTGGATATAAAACTTTTTTTCCTCACGATATCGACTTCTGTAAATTCAAAGCTCTAATGATATTTTTAATATAGAGCAATATCAAAAATAGCTGATAGAAGTGGAGGAATAAACTCAAAGGAAAAAAGAAAAAATATAATAAAAATAGAAAATTTTGTTTTGCAAAAGAAGGCGCGATGCTATCAGGACGACATTGTCCTCATGAAATTATGACAAAAAAGCTCAATTTACTGGACAGGACAATAATGCTTGAAGACAACTGCATAGCACAGCACAAATCCAAAAGGAGCATCCTCTCTTTTGTTACGACACAGTGTTTAAACCTACTTGAAAAAGGATGTCTCTGTGCAGAATGTGGTGGACTCAAATTTTTTCTGTTATCTTCTATGCACAAAGAACTTGGCTCTTTAGTATAAGCACCTTCGTGCTGTCCTTTGACATACAAGCACTCCTCCCAGGTTTTTCACACCTACTCAGAAGTTACATGTAAGCAGGTCATTACATCAGAAGTTCATTAAGAAAGTATATACTGCACTTTAAAATATTTGCCTTAAAATACAGATACAGCTTCATAGTCATCTGCTGATTTTTTTTCGCTCAAGATAATAATTTTCTTTGTATTTCAGAGAAACTAATATCAAGACTAATAAATGGTTTTAAACTGAGCAAGATGGGGGGAGGAAGTAGGCAGACTACTGTCTTTAAAACATTAACTCTTGAGATGTGGTGCAAAATCTACATCTCATTAAAAATAAATTCTTAAAAAAAAAGATAAAATTAAAAATCTGTGAAAATAAAAAGATGTACAAGGTATAATTGTATAGGCCACCACATGGCCTATACTAATCTTAAATTATCATTAATGTTAAATTATTTGCCAAATGCAATAAATTCTTCGACTGCTAACTTATATTAATCATCTACTAATCCATAAATATTGAACGGCATTAAGGCAGCTATCTTTTTCTACAATAGGACAATCTCTTAGACAATATTTAAAATACTATATCAAAAAGAGATTCACATAGATGTTTCACTATAAAGAGTTTGATAAAGACAGATATTAAATCCCTTTGATTTTCATAAACATGTCCTCAACATTCTCTATTCAAGGAATAGATATACTTTTTGAGTTTGAAAACTGAAAGCTAGAAACATTTCTAACAATTAAAGTATAATATCTCTAGAACTGCATAATAAAGCAATTGAATAATTCTCTATTTCAGTCTGTCCTTCCTATCTTTGCTGCAAATATATTAAATACTGATTAAAGGAAATGGATTTTACATAAAATTGTAGTTAAAGAGCCTATAATCTAGTCCCTTAGATTTATTATGTTAAAATATTAATCCTCATTGGCCAAACGCTGATCATACCTTATCCTGTGACAAAGATGCTCTTGGTTGTAGGATGCTACAGATGGGGGTTGGAAACGCTGACCATAGAAAACTGTAAGGAGGACTACGAAACTGGAGACAATTTTGAGGAAGATCAAGATTACTGCTGTTGTGAGTCAACATTAACTAACAGGAAAATACTGCTTTAATGAATAAACATTCAATTTTCTGTCCTTTCTCATTTTTTCATTTTAACATCTAATACAGCACCCAATGTCTGCGATCCAAGGTCTGCATATTAATTAAGCATTTTGTTTTAAAGGGTGGACTTACTGGTTTTATGTCTCTGTGTAGGAATCCCACTGAATGAATGCTTTCAATAGATTCCAAAATCTGCCTCCCAAGCCGCAGAGTGGTACTGATGGTGAACGTTCCTCGAGACTGGCTCCGACGCAGATCTGCCAAGTTCCGACCCTGATCAAATCAAAACAAAATTTTCAGAAAAAAAATACTATAATACCAGCAGTCACAGGTAGCATAAAATCTTCCTATCCCTTCTTTAGTGGTTAGCGGTTAAGCATGGAATATTCTCATTTCCTATTCTCATAGTCAGGGGTAACACACCTCACCTAAATGCAATGAGGAGATGTCTCTAAGTACCTCCAATATTAAAGTTTTTATCTATTTTTGAAAATATGAATCTTAGCATATTTTTACCCCTAAATAATATGGATCAATCTAATGTCTAGCAGAAGATTTTGGTATATTTCTCAATTATATAATGTTGTATATGTGGCACACTTGAAAAAAAAGGCCACAGAAAATACTCACAAAGACTTCTTTATATTCACTTCTTTAGGGAAAATATCTTATTTATTTTATTTTATATTGTGTCTTGGATGACTTAAACAGATGTAAAGAATACTATGCAGGAAGCGCCTCCCTATAATGTCATAAATTGTTGGCCTGTCAAACAACAGATGACCAAGAATATATACTAGAACACACCTCTTTTTCCAGCGCTCATATTCACCAAGATGGTAAAGAACAGTAATTCCATAATTTTAAATGCTAATCATCCACTTCTCCCTTCTTACAGGAATAAGTCTTTCAGTTAACTGAATTAAGTTTCAACTCGCAGGGAGCATTTTTTTTTTACTTTCATCCAAAAAAGTCAATAAAGTGAGCAGACAAATATGCTATATTTTAGACTATCTTCAAGTAAAGTCTTTAAAGGAATGGGGATTATCTCAGAATACATCATAGTTCTCACTGCTGTTCTGAGGATGCAAACTTTCTCCTTTCTGACAGAGAATTATGGAAAGGATGTCAAAGGATCAGGATATAAGTGTATGTTCCATTTAGCTTAGCTCTCTACTACACATTTAGGATCTCTGGTCTTTTTTTATTGATCAGCCTCTAAGATATCATCGGTATTTTCATATATTTTTGTCTACGATAACAAAACACAAAAACAAACTTTGAGCTCCGTTTGATACACTGACCTGCAGCTGCATGACCACATAGTTAAATCTGTCATTCCTTCCACATCCAATGAATCTACAGACATGATCTTTTCCTGAGAGAATAATAAGAAACAAGTTAGCCAATAACAACAACATTCTGTGTTTTACTCCTTTAAAAACCTAGTAAATGACAAAAAAAGATAGCTATATTACTTTAGATATCTTTAATTAACTTTAATAAACAGAAGCAAAAAAAATCCACAGTACAAGAGCTGTAAAACCAATGGCAGTTCTACCTCCAATTAAGGAAAAGTTTTGTCCCATAAAATATACAGCCCTATGGAGACCACTGCCATCTATCTGTAAATAAACATGCGTGGCAACATGCCTAAAGGTTGGCTCACAAATCTGAGCCATTCTGGATGAGGAAATGGTTATTTTCTTACAAAGTTGACGGTTTGTTATAGACAATATGCCTAACCACCGTTCCTATTTTTCTATGCAACTGCCATGATGAAAGAGAACAGTAGTAGTTACCTGTGGGATTTTTTGTCATGTTCTGTAATGTTAAATTTGTAGAAAACATAATTCAACTAACCTTGTTCATGAATGCCTTTTTCTAGAATCTAATCTTTGCTGTTTAGGTAAAGAAGACAAATTCAGCTTAGGTACATTGAAGCTGGGATAAAAGGACTGTAGTAGTTTAAAATCACAGCTTGGTTTAAATTAAATTTCTTCAGAGCCCCCTCCTCTCCTAAGAGCAAACTGGAGAGGAGAAGAGTGCTGGTCAAAACTAATCTCTCTGCTCTCCTGCCCTGGGAAGTCCAAGATAAGATTCTCCAGATAACCAGAGAAAAGGGCAGGCTCGGGACTGCCGTAGGGAAA